TCACAGCCATCCTGCACGCCCCGCCACGCCCCCCGCGCCGCCCCGCGTGTGCGCAGACGAGCAGCTGGTGGACCTGTGGCTGACTAGCGTGGGGGTGCTGGCCAAGAGCCTGTGCAAGGACGAGTGCCAGCCGCTGCGGGACAATGCCCTCATGGTGCTCAGGTGCGGCACGCTCTGATCCATGCCTGCCTGCCTGCCTGCCTGCCTGCCTGCCTGGACCGGCGTGTGTGTGTGTGTGTGTGTGTGTGTGTATTGAGAGCTGCGGCGCTTCCATGCTGCGGTGCGTGGTTCGCTCCCGTGTTGGTGCACCCGGAGTATCGCACGCCTTGCCCAGATGCGCCACACCGCTTGCTCCGCCGCCACCTCACCACACCCCCCGCCCCAGCCTGCCGCCACCGGCATGCCCCTCCCTGCCCCTTCCCACCGCCGCCGACTCTCCTGCCCCGCGCCCTGCCACCGCCTCGCCCGCCTTCCCTGCAGCCGCGCCCTGGTGTCTAGCGAGCGCCTCAACCTGCCACCGGAGCTGTGGGTACAGACGCTGCGGGAGCTGCTGGTGCCAGTGGCCTCAGGTGGGTGGTGGGGAGGCCATGCAAGGCACGGGTCCGTGCCTAGGACGGCGGGCGGGCGCAGGCAAGGCGCAGGCACGGCAGCGCAGCGGCTGCGTCGCCCGGGGGCAGGCCGCCAGCGCCAGCGCCTGCCGTGCCGCGCCACGCGGCGCTCGGTTGCTGCGGCGCTCGCCTGCTGACGTGGCGCCTCGCTGGCCTGCTGACCTGGCGCAGACCTGGCGCGCCTGGCGGTCAAGAAGTCGCGCAGCCACCCCGGCGCCGAGAAGAGCGTGCGCCTGGCTGTGAGCATGCTGGTGAAGACCGTGCTGCAGGTAAGGCTGCAACGCGCGGTGGCCGCACGCCGTCTGCCTGCTGCTGCCCAGCCGCCGTCGCTGTGCCGGCTTGATTGCCTGGTCCTTCTGCCGCCAGCCCCTGTGCATTTGCCGCTCCTCGCGGCCCCCAGCTGCCCTGCCCTGCACACCTGCGTGTGCTCACGCAGCTGTGCTGTTTCTCGGTCGTACCGCCTGCCCTGGTGCAGTACATCGAGGTGGTGCAGGGCGACAAGGACTTCTACGGCCTGTGGCAGGCGGTGCTGCAGGCGCTGCAGGTGCGCTGCCCCCGCCAGAGCGGTACTGCTGCTGCTGCTGCTGCTCGGCGCTGCGCCGCGCCTATCGCTCGCTTCCCAGCTGGGCTGCCTGCCGGCTCGCCCCGCCGCAGCACGAGCGGGCAGAGTTGCGGTGCTGCAGCCATGGTCACTCCTCACGTGCCGCCTGCCTGCCGCCTGCCTGCCTTGCTCCCTGTCTCAGCCTCGTCCCTGCCTGCCTCCCCGCCCCGCCTCGCCCCCCCCCTGCAGGACTGCATGGCCGTGCGGCACGAGGCGGTGCAGGAGTCGGTACCGGAGAATGCCAAGAACATGCTGCTGGTGCTGGCCTCCTCGGGCATACTCACACCCGACTGGCACGATGCAGGGGGGCGCTCCCTGTGGGACCTCACCTTCTCCCGGGTCCACACCATCTCCTCAGGCCTCAACCCATCCCTGCTGGAGGCCACGCTGGTGCCGCGCAGCCGCGCCGCCTCGCCCCGCGCCTCCGCCG